CCCTAAACCCTAAACCCCTAAACCCCAAACTCTAAAGCCCTAAACCCCTAAACCCCAAACCCTAAACCCTAAACCCTAAACCCATTAAGCCACAAGACTCAAGGAGCCCGAGGGTTCCCCTGTGCTAATTTTTCCAAAACCCTCACCACCCCTTCCCAAGAAACGTGAGCAAGACACATGAAACCCGAACACGCCCGTATAGGGTTTAGGGTTTAGGGCTTGAAGGTTTTAGGGTGGCTTGAGGGTTTAGGGTTGGAAGGCTTTTGGGTTTGACAGTTTTAGGGTGGGCTTTGGGGTTTGGAGGTCTTAAGGTTCTACTTGGAGAGTCGGGGGAGACTTAGTATGTAGGTAATAAGTAGACTTATAAGTACCCTAAAAGGGACCCTAATTGGGGTTATAGTACTTATAAGTCTATAAAACAACCATTTACTAAGTCCACCGACCGTCCAAGTAGGACCCTCTCCTGGATCTTTCCCGTGTTCTCGGTCGGATAGCCGGCCACTGTAGGGTCCACGACATAGATGGCCTGCCACTCAACGCCACTGTCTAGGATAAGTACACTTAAAAGTCGTTCGTACGTTTAACCCTAAACCATAAACCCTAAAACCCTAAAGCCCGAAACCCTAAACCCCTAAACCCCAAAACCCTAAGCCCGAAGCTCTAAACCCTCAGCTCAGCCCCAGATTAGGGCTGCCAGTGTCCGACCCCCAGTTCTCAACCTTCTACTCTGATGTTACCCTCAACCTTAAACCCTAAACCCTAAATTAAAGGAAACTACAGGTGGGGAGTTTAGGGTACATAGGGCTTCTATAGGCTTCCATAAGGTATATAGACCTTCTATAAGGCTCCTATAACGGTAACTAGCCACCTGAAAATGTCCTAGACTAAACACTTTTTACCCTCAACCTTAAGCCCGAAACTCTAAACTTTGGTTTATCCTCAACCTTAAACCCTAAACCCTAAACCCTAAACCCTAAACCCTAAACCCTAAACCCTAACACCCTACACCTAAAGCCTAAACCACGCATCTTGACCCAGGATATGTGGCCCTGTAGCTTGGGCTTACAATAAAACACCCAGAGGGTCCACATTATAGATCCCTATAAATAATTACCAATACTATTTGGGGGGGGGGGCTCCTTATTCATAGTTATCGCATAGATCACCCCAAAACATGATTCTAATTCTTAAGGCCCCTACATTATATACGGCCATTATGGAACTAGGTCCCTACAGGCCATCCCTTCTTTAGGATTTGGGAACCTATTTCCATCATAGTAGCAGATATGGGCCCTCTAGGACAGAGTTCGGTTTTGGCTTGCATTATAACCCAGAGGGTCCGAGTACCCAAATAGTAAGGTTTTAGGTCCCAAAATCCATACTCTGAATGGTTTTTGGACCTTGAAACCCTACTATTTGGGCACTTGGACCCTTAGGGTAATACGGCTATACTACAATCCTAATCACATGAACCCGAAGGACTAGTATTGGCCTCAGCCCTGAGCAACAAACCCTAAAGCTCTAAAGCCCTAAAGCCCGGGCCACTATTGCTTTCCGAATCTCCACGTCAGCGAAGTGTATACGCAACAGGGGTGCGCCATGTATATAAACTTGTCGTTTATCTTTTTTTGGAAGGGGGGTGGTCTAGGTGTACTTGTATCTACAGGGGCTGGGCGGAGATATTGCTGTTGGTTGTTCATACGCCTGCAGGAGGACTTGCGACTCATGCGTTGGTTTAGCTTAATGTAGGGGCCTCAGTAGTTAGAATAGGGTTTTGGGGCCCCTTATACTATATTTATAATATGGAACCCCCAACAATAGTATGGGTAATCATTTAGGTCCCTATATTAGGGTTAAGACTGAAGTGTTAGTGTTTGGGGAGTTGGGTCTAGCGGTGAAGAAGTGACACGGTTTCGAGTTTAGGGTTTAGGGTTTAGGGTTTAGGGTTTAGGGTTTAGGGACGCCGCTCTTGTGCCGTTAGTAAACAGTGTAGCAGATCAACAGCACTTTAAATCCGAAACCATGTTCCAACTTGTTAGAGTCTACTTGCTTGCCCAAATAATCAACCAGGGAAATAAGGTTGAGCTTTCAGATTGCTACTATATACATTGTAAGAACCCCAAAAAATCTTAAATGTTGGGTATTGGATCACTGAGTATTAGAGTATTGGGTTTAGGATCGAGGCTTCTGGGATGGGATGTGATTCGGGCCAGGTTAAGTCCAGCGTTTACAGGGAGGGTGCAGCCGCAATGAAATGGTTTAAGGGCACTGGGGGGTTTCTATGCTTTGTCGGGGATTGCATCGAAGTCTCAATTGGCGCCTTAACTAGAGTTTGCAAACGGGATTAGCACTTCGACCAAGACTGTTGTGAAACGGTCAATATTATGCCTGATGATTAAGGTCTACTTCAAACAGGGGTCGGAACAATTTAACGCACAATCCCCGTTTGTTCCTACATAGGTACACAATAATATGACCCAAACTCTATTCTACCAATTCTAGCAAAGCCCCTATACTGCTTAACCACTTAGAAATGACAAGAGATAAGGGTGGGAGCTAGGATTAGGGGGACCCTTGGGGATATAGACCCTCTCAATAAGGTCCCTTTTAAGAGAGCCACAAGTAGGGTTTTTAAGGGGTACCCCAAATAATACTACCTAAAGGGGGACTTTATTTACATCGAGCTTTGCTGTGAACATGTGATATGAGCCAAAGCGAATGGTGCGAACGGGACTGGAGTAGAAGAGCAGTAAATGCCGCACCACGCAGCAAAATCAGGCTTCTTAAACAAGCTGGCGATGGCTGCAACAGACACCTTCGTCAACCCCTGGAATTTCCCTCGAACCCGACTATCTACATCCTTCATATCATAATATATATATATATATACATATATATGTATGTGTGTATATATATATATATATGCCACACCCTTGCTCACCAGCAAAACCCTAAACCCTAACCCTACATTCCCACCCAGACTCTGCGTCTGCATCCTAAGCCTTCCAATCCTACATAGCGATGCAGACGTTGCGAGGATTATGACATCAGGGAAGTGATGGCGTCTTATACGGATTACAAGGCTTAGGCAAAATTGAAATCGAAATGTGCTTGAATTCCATGGGCCAGCCTTGTTCGTGACCACCAAGTTCAGGCAAGGAGTATGGTGATTGGGATCGGACACCTTCGGAGCTCAGACTTGTCTGAACAGAGGGCTTTTCAGGTATATGAGGTATATGGGACTTTTGCAGGTTCATATTATTTCATGTAGGGTTCAGGGCTTCTGCCTGAAGAACTACAAGAGGGTTGCTTGCGCTCTTTGAAAATCTCTATAAGGGCTCCGGTGCGACTCTTCCGGGCTCAGCTTGGTGCTGTTTTGGAGGTTTAGGGTCCCGGTTTAGGGTTTAGGGTTTAGGGTTTAGGGTTTAGGGTCCACCTGATCCTTGAAGAATGCCTCATGGGTAGGGCTCTCGGTTCTGCTTGGGTTTAGGATGTAGGGCATAGAACCCCGGGTCGCAAACAGTTTCGGGTATAGGGTTTAGGGTTTAGGGTTTAGGGGTGTAGGGTTTGGGGTTATAGAATAGGGTCTTGGGGTATCTTTCAAAGTGTTTGTACATGGAGGTAGATTGCAGTTGCCGAAGTATGTGTCAACGTACTGGGCGCCAGGACCCGAAAGCCTAGACAGTCACCTAAAACTCATCCTCACAAAACTAAACTTTTAGGCCCTGAACAAGCAAACCCTTGTTAAAGACTTCTATCTATAACGAGCTCATAGTAAAGGAGGCCTAAAAAAGGTAGGGTACGCAGCGTTGAAGTCGGCCCTAACCCATTCCGAAGTCGACGAAAAACTGCTAAACCCTACTATTTCTGGAGCCTCCAGGCGGATGCCATTCATCAGCACCTGCGAGACTTAGAATAGCGTTTTGGTTGCGTTATACTTAACTAACAAATTGAGAAACACATGCACACATAAGTAAGTAAGTAAACAAACACATAAACCAATATATCAACAAATAAATAACAACAGCACATCAGCACAAAAAACATAGACGGACACATTGAACAAACCACACTGTACATTTGAAGATGGACAATAGGACAAGTCACCAGGCAGCTACTGCCTCAGATGTTCAGGCCCTGAGGGTTCAGATGTTCGGGCACGCCAATCTTGGAGGTGTTCAGGCTCCGTTTTGGGCTTAGGGTTTAGGGTTTAGGGCTTTGGGTTTAGGGTTTAGGGTTAGCAGTTCAAGGATGTTTCTGGTTGTTTGGAGGCCTCAAAAAGTGCGATGAAGGTAGGTAGGATTAAGGACCCCTCGCATACGGAGTCTTACCTTGGGAGTACACCACCTACCTTCATCCCACCCCTGGGGCCCCATTGAGTGGTTAGGTTTCCAGAGGGATTGCGCTCCACCACAATATGCCTCCCAGAAACTAATCCCTGAATCTGTTTTCGCCCAAAAGAAGCTGATATAGAAACCTGAATGAATACTGTTGATGATAGAAACCCAGCATTACCTTAAGGACACTAAACTGTGGGAACTATGGTATATGCCTTCGTACGGGTACTGCAGGATCTTTATCATCAAGCGTGGTAGTACTGTTCCCTGGCTATATTAATCCCCAGAACCCTATTCTGACAACTTAGAGCCCCTAAAGTAATGAGCCCCTCCAAATCCTGAAGCCCCTGTAAGGGAACCCTTTACAGGAACCCTACTCTAACCCCTCAGGAGGCCCCTTTTTCTACCCTAAAGCCCTAAAGCCTCAAACCCCCGAAACCCCTAAAAAACACCAAAAGCCCTCAACCCTAATATCTCGAAACACCTACAAAAACACCAAAAGCCCTCAACCCGAACATTTCGAAACCCCTAAACACACCAAAAGCCCTCAACCCCTAAACAAACCCTAAAGCCCCAAGCTAAACCTTGTATCCCGAAACCCCTAAGATACACCAAAAGCCCTTAACCCCAATCTCCAAAAAAAACCTAAGGCCCTAAACCCTGGTATCCCGAAACCCCTAAAAATACACCAAAAGCCGTGAACCCCAAGCTCCAAAAAAAAACCTAAAGCCCTAAACCCTGGTACCCCGAAACCCCTAAAAATACACCAAAAGCCCTTAACCCCAAG